CTGAGTTTGGAAACCGATATTAAGAAAACGTAGGGGCAAAAAATTTGAAATTTGGACCATATATAGCCTCACTATTACTCTATTGTGTGCTAAAATTTCAGTTGGTTTCGTTATCCCATTTGTTAGTTATTAATGAAAATGTTGAAAAAATCACGGTTTTCTGCATATAAAATTATTGGTACCTCTCACTTTAACTCGTCGTAATTTTTTTGTTAACTGATAAAAAAAATCCAATTTTTACTAACGATAAGTTGAACCATTGTCTTTAATATTGTAAAGGTCATTTGTCTCAAAAGGTCTTCTTTTTTTATTTTTAAGTGAAACATAAGGGAGTGCTATCTCCGTAAATATGGCATTCTTTAAAAAAAGAAAAAACTGACAGGTAGCAAATAACTGTAAACAACAATTTGAAAAAATATGTTAAAATAATACAGTTATAAATATGATATTCTTAAAAACAGTATCGGAATGGTCAATTGCGTTCACGATCCGATGCAGAGTATATAGTATAGCCTTTATAACTATTATTTTAACAAATTTTTTCAGATTGTTGTTTACGGAAAGAGGTTTCGAGACAAATGACCTTCACAGTACTAAAAACGATAGTGCGACTTATAGTCGGTAAAATTAGAATTATTTTTGTCTAATTTTTTTCCCGTTATTTTATCATCTTCTAGGTTGAAAAAAAATCTCGATTCTGAAAATTTCAAATCAATATTTTAATTCCTAAAGGTCACTCATAATAGGTACCTACCTACGTTTTCAAGCGACCACTAAAAAAATAAATATCAACGAAGTAACAATTTTTTTTCATTGAATTTGATCAACAAAATAATAGAAATTAATTACGAGACACTTAATAAATGTCTCGAGGCAAAATTTACTACCGCACTGTGAGTATCAAATATTTATAATTTGTTAACTTTTTAAAATTTTTTTATTTTTTAGAGGTCGCTCAACTCTGAAAATTAAAATAATTATGAGTGACCTTTAGAAATTAATATATCGATTTGAAATTTTCAGAATCGAGATTTTTTTCAACCTAGAAAATGATAAAATAACGGGATAAAAATTAAACAAAAAAAAATTCAATTTTTGACGATTTTGGAAATTTTTAAAAATCTTGAGCGACTTTTAAAAAAATTGTTTGAGCTGATTTTTTGAGGGGACTCTTAAAACATGATAAACTAACATATTTTCAAAAGAGACACAAAAAAAAATCGTTTTTTTTTTTGTGGACCACCCTACTATACAGATTATTCTCCAAACGTAATTAGTAGCAAGTTTCTATATATTTTAGTAATTAGGCAGTGTTTTTTAAATTAATACGACTCACCAAAGTAAACA